GATCGTTCGGCGTCGCTGGAGGCGCGCTGTCAGACCCGGGTGACGGCCTGAACACCCGCGTGGCCTGGTATGTCGAAGACGCAGGCATTCAGCACCGCTACATGCTCATAGACTGAACAGGCCGTCGGCGGACTGGGGAAGCCTGCCCCTCGAAGGCGGCATCGAGGCGGCGTACAAGAGACAACTAGACGCCGCTCTTTCTCGCGAGAAGATGATGAAAGACCTACTAGCGAAATTCGAAGACGTGCGTGACCCCAATCGCACTGCGAATGTCTTCGGCATCGAGGAGATCATCGACCCGAGGGATACTCGGCCCCTGGCGTGTGAGGTCAGTATCGGCCTTCTAAGCAACGGTGAGATTGAAGCTAAAAGTGTCCCATCATAGTGGATCAACCACGCGTACAACAATCTATTACCACCGCGGTTGATTGCCCGACAAGCCTCTAGCACCGCTATGCCCAAGAAATACAAACTCTAAGATATCCCTTGTGATATACTGCCTATCTCCCTGAGACTACAAGCTCTATAGCCCTGAATGCAGGGTAAACCATGCACGCTAGCAGGAACCCAACAATGATACCAATGTCCCCCGTGCCAGCGTTCGCGATAGGTCCCATATACCACGCCTGCGCCATGCAGGGTACGATGATGCCGCAAGCGCAGAGGAAGGCTAGGATGGCCGCTACGCCGAGAGGCAGCTGCCCGGGTTTGCAGTATTGCGAAAGGTCGTAGCGTTTCCAGTCGCTCTTGCGGAAGACGAGGTGCTCGACGATCACGATCGCTGCGAAAATGGTGCTCCAGTATCCGATCACGCCTGCAGACGTGCCGTCAGTATAGAGGGCATGAAGAGCTGCGAGAGGTCACGCACTCAGGACATCGACGAAGGTCGTGTAGAAGTGGGTGGCGCCAACGATAGCCACCGGGATGAGTCTGGCAGACCTCGTCAGCATGCTTTCTCGCGACACAGAGGTCTGAACCTACATAGCCTCAGAGACGACGGTGTATACGTATCGCGGGACCTTGGCGAACCAAGCATGGATCGTCATAAAGCTAGACGCGAACGTGTACATCGTCGGGGCGCATGCGCTCGGAATGGACAGCGCCAGTAACACCGTCAGGAACTTTCCGAATCCGCCAGTAGCAGAGAGAACGGCTTGGATGAGTCCACCGACGTTGTTTCCTTGGTCAAAGCCCGTTTCCCAGGAAGGCACGCCGGGAGCGGCCGCTGCGAAGGCGGCGCCTAACATGTGCCCGGCAAGCTACATCTGGTGCATCAGCTAGAGAGCAACGGAATCCTGTGGCGACGTACACTGGCAAGCAGGAATCCGGAGTAGCTATAGAGGAACACCTTCATGCTGGGGATAGGATGAGCAGGTACTGTATGGGTATGGATGTTCTGCAGGATCACCTTGACGCCTTGTGCGCATGATATACTCCATAGTCAGGCGTCATGATACACCAACTGATTACACTCGATGCGGTCGTAGTAGCGAACGAGAGGACCGCTGACGCCGACGGAGGAGGGGGTATCGGTGCCTCCGTGAGGTGCTTGCCCCCAACTCCGAGCATGACCACGAAGGTGATTACGCTAGGGATCCATGCGATGGTCTCATACCTAGGAGAACGTAATGTAGTCGTCAAAGAGTGCACGCGCAGGGATCGGCAGAGGTCCTCACCAATGGATCACACGATATCCAAAGAATGTGACCTAGTAGGGTGGTTTTGAGAAGATTGACAGGACCGAGAAGCACTCAGGAGAGCTTACGACCAGCGACAACACTCCTATAATGACAATTCCCAGTGTGTCGTCCAGATGATTGGAGACACTAGCAAGCGTTTGGCCACCAATTATACAGTTCAGTATCAGGAAGCCTTGCATGGAGAACACTGTGAATGCGCTAGGAATGATGGATCCGAAGTAGCTGCGCAAGGGTATAAGTTCTCAGCGAGAGCATTGGCTTTTAAAGGACATTCACCCCCAGGAATAGCGCGCCAGCACCATGGAACGCATCCCAAGCTTTGGCCCGAAAACGGCGCTGTGGATGGTGCATATCAGCATAGATTAGACCGGAGGAATGTCAGTACATGAACCCTCACAAGTAGGCCGGGAAAACACAGGAGCTGCTCCACCTGTCAGATACCTCGCCTATGTCGGGAACAGTACTACGTACATCAGGTCCACCACCAGGAGGATGAGGAAAGAGTCCCGCAGGCCGAGACCGAAGAATGCAGGTCCCGCAGAACCTGTGCCGAATCTATGCATGCGCGGCGAACGATCGCACGACGCTCTCCTGAGATACTCTGAGAGTGAGGACGCACGCCAAAATGTTCATGTTCGCCGAGAACCACACAAAGAACATCTGGTATAGTTTGTTGTCTGTTCTATCCTCCGGCAATATCGGGTTGATCCTGGTTCACCTTATCAGCACGCGTTATCATCGAGATTCGTATATGAGAGTCTCACCCGTTCGTCTCGATTCCCCAGTGGGACAGGAAGTCCGAGAGGGATGCGAACCATCGCTGTATCCGCGTCGGAGGGGAACTAGCTTCGAAGATGCTGCTGGTCTTCTCATCGTCTAAAGAACTCATATCGGCAATGATGACAGTAGGGAGCAAAGGAAAGACGCGAGTGGGCGGCTATGGAGCGGGTTGCATAATCTCCATCGGTTTGTACCACGTGAAGTGAGGGGGAAGACTGGCGGCCCGATGCCCGAACGGCGGGACCGGAGTACCAGACATTGTAGGCGGAGGGCGAGGGCGAGGGCGAGGGCGCTCGAAAGTGGGCATTGTGGGGAGGCGGACTGCGGGGCAGGGAGGGCTCGGGGTGTTCGTGGCGCCCTTGTGGCGCCCGCCAGGCATGCTGGGAGGATAAAACCGTGGGAGTACATGTCCGGACACCTCCCGCGCGTATCGGGGACTCTCGGTCAAGTCGAGAGACGAGGTCGCGGGTCCACTCACGCTCATGTTCTCTTCCCTCATGTCCTCTTCTCATACTCGTCCACAACCTGTTAAAAAAAGGTTAGCGAGAGAAGATGCACCATATGCTAGACTCGTACCTGCTGAAAGTTCTCAGACTCCCAGTGCAACTGAACTTTGTCCAGCTGGTCTTCAGGAAGGTACCATTCGAGGAACATAAAGAAGAGGCAGTCCACGATGAGTATGATCGCGTAGATGATGCCCGCGAAACGGCCCAAGTCAAGCGTTCTGTATTCTGCATTAGCGTCATTCCCCCTTCAGTCGAATGGCATACCGGCGTAGTCGTGTCCAGAAGTCATAGGGGGGAGAGTTGAGGACGGATTCATACACGCGCTCTGTTCTGTGCGTGACTTCCCTCCAGTCGTAGAAGCCTTTGATCCTTTCGTGGGCTGCAAAAGGGTCATGTTTGCCAGCGGACACGAGTTTGATCGCCTCCGACATCGCACGGACAACGTCTGCAATGAGCGCGGAGTCTGTAAGCTCGCAGAAACCTGCAGAGAAGCGTACATGTCTCACCGTCTTCATCCGGGTTCGCAAAGGATATCATGTCCTGCGGCAGGACTTCGGGCAACCCGCCTACCCGGGTGGACACCACATATAGACCCGCGCAGGCTGCTTCTACAGTTGCAATACCGAAAGATTCGGTGAGCGAGGTATTGAGGAATATTGACCCTTGCACGAGCACCTAAGGCGATCACTGTCAGGGTGTGTCGACTGAACCAGGGAGACCGACTACGACTCACGTTACGGACGTCACTCGGACGGATGGGACCCAACATCTCGATACGATCTTGAAGCATGTATTTCTCCCGCATCTGCAGGAGGTCTATCATCTTGGGACCGTCTCCGCCTACGTACAAGTGTGAGTAGGTGGATCTCGAGGGCTGCCGTTATGTGATATCTCACCTATGAGAAAGCGGACGTTCGGGAACAAGGCACAAATTCGAGGAGCAGTAGCGACCAGCAAGTCGATGCCCTTCCTGTACGCTAGTCGTGCGACGACGACAATTGTAACTGCCAAACGTGGCGTCATCAGGTCAGTGTAAGCGTCGAGAACTAGTACTACTATACTGACTCGTGTCCCCAGAAGGAGGTGAAGGAGACGGCTTGAACTGGTCTGCAACCAGTGCATTTGGTATAACATGCACCGTCTCTGGATGCACTTTGGCTCTTAGCACTGTGTTCTCGCGCCTGCGAGTGTCATGTCAACGGAGTCAAGGCGAACTACACGAATGAACGTGTCGCACCCCGTGTGAGAGACACCTATAACAGCGTCGACGTTGCGTAGTGCAGCTTCGAGGAGCTTGTTGGTGAGGATGCTCGCAGCGTCATCGAAGCCAAACAGACTATGATCTGTGAACACCGTCCGCACGCCCATGTGATGCGCGTGCAGGATGCCTTCATGTGCCAACGAAGACAGGCCGGCATGTCCGTGTATCAGCTGTATACCTTCTCGGAGGACGATGGTCCGGAGGTATGGCAAGAAGGTGAAGTAGTTCGGAAGCGTCGCCGACGAAGCTATTGTCGGGAAGGGGATGTAGTATACCTTCAGAGAAGGAGCAAGCCATCTTACACCGACACGGTCTGGTGGATGGCTGTGGGTGATGACAATGACCTGTGCGCTCGTCAACGCAAGGGACATGCCATATAAGTAGGTATGATACCTTGTGCCCGCGGCGAATGAGCTCTGCGCTCAACATGTATATGTGGCTCTCCACCCCGCCTATTCCGGGGTGGAAGAAATCGCACACCATACTGTGGCAGAAGCATGAATCAGTATGTAAGTCTCGTTCAGTCGAACGGTGGTGCTGACGCGATTCTGATACCCATTTTGTGGCTCCCCTTCACATCCTCAGCATACCCTGGTTGCGATCTAACGGCCAGGAATGCTCACTGGCTGGACGAACGTGGTGGTACTTACTGTAGCAGTTAGTACGACACCAAGGAACTTCAAGAACGGAGTCCGCCGTCTCTTGCCTTGGCATACCTCTTGTTGATTTACATACATAAACATCACCTTCAACGGTTCGGTGGTGTAGTTGGTTATCACGTCTGTCTCACAGCCCACTTGGTGGTTGCGCACAGGAGGTCTCCGGTTCGAGCCCGGACCGAACCACTTTTTGTCTTTTCCGGCTACTTCTGGCAATGCGCAGTGGCCAAGGCTCCAAGCAACGGCGGGAACGGCACAGCGTCATGGGAAGCGCCCGTCACTGCACCCATTAGAAGCGACCCCGGGGCGTCGAGCTCGGCGCACGTTCTTTGTTTGCTGTCCCCTTGCTCGTTCTTGCTCTTCTACCCGTTTCACTCTCCTCCTTCTCGCTTTCTCTTCTTCTTCGTTTGCTCGCCATGGCCACTTTGGACAAGACCGACGTCGGCACGCCCGTGGACGAGGACGCGCCGGGCCAGCCCATATCGGTGCCCGACACTGGCGACACCGGCGAGAGCGGCAAGCTCAAGATGATCGTCCAGCTCGTCAAGAAGTGCCTCGGGGTGAAGGACATCGCTGCGATGTATGTCTCAAAGAGTGCTGCTTGTCTGGACGATCGCGGAGTCTGACGGAGTCGTGAGCTACTAGGCGTCTGTCCCTCCCGGCATCGCTGCTGGAGCCCATCCCGAACCTCGAATACTGGCACTACTTGGACAGGCCGGACCTCTTTGCCGCGTGAGTTGTGCTGTTGACGTGGGAAGGGAATGGTAGACTGAGTGCGATGCGCCGCCCAGCATCAATGATTCTGACGATCCCTTCGAGCGTATGCTGGCCGTACTCAGATTTACCTTCTCGAAGGACCTCAAGTTCATCGTGGGTGCTTTTGTGGTCTCGTGCGTCCCGATGTGCTGAACTCCCTTCAGAGAGGAAAGGTTTGCAAGCCGTACAACTCCGTGCTCGGCGAGCACTTCCGGTCGCACTGGGACGTGATACCAGTATCGTACCCTTCGGACCCCAACGAGCCTCCAATTCACCACCTGTACGTCTCTGCGTCCGTGCCGGACAATGCCGGGTCGTCATGGTTTAGTGGTCCCGCCACGCACTCTATGCCCGACGTCGCCCACCCGCCGTTCTCGGAGAACGCGAGTGTGAAGAGCGGTAAGAGCGGCAAGAGCGCCTTCAGCTTCATGTCCCGGGGTCACTCCACCACGGCCAAGTCTACACCTGCAACTTCGCCCGAACTCGTGGAGACAAACCTTGAGGCCGGTGTTTCGAGCCTCAGCTTGTCTAATGACCGCGCCTCAGGCGCAGCAGACCTCCTAGAAACGGACGAGGCTGCTGCGGACAAGCCGCGCGTCCGCATCGCCTACCTAACGGAGCAAGTCTCGCACCACCCGCCCGTCTCGGCGTTCTACGCAGTGTGCCCCAGCCGCCACGTCGAGCTCGTCGGCATCGACCAGATCTCCGCCAAGGTGTCCGGGACGACCCTGCGTGTCATGCCCGGCTCGTTCAACAAGGGCATCTTCGTGCGCATCACCGGTGAGCCTGGCGCGGGCGAGACGTACCACGTCACGCATCCGGTCGCCTCGGTGAACGGGCTGCTCCGCGGCAGCTTCTACGTCACGGTGGGGGACTCGACGATCATCACCTGCTCGGGGGGCAAGGACGGCCCGAAGCTGCGCGCGGTCATCGAGTACAAGGAGGAGTCGTGGCTCGGGCGCGCGCAGTTCCAGTGCGAGGGCGTCATCCACACGTACGACCCGAAGGAGACCGTGCACGAGGAATGGACGCGCGTGAAGCACGTCCCCCGCGACAGGGTACTGGCGGTGTTCGACGGGTCGTGGCGGGGCCGGATTCGCTGGAAGCGGGTTGACGCTCCCGATAGCGAGTACGCGACGCTCATTGATCTGTCGACGCTGCACGTCGTCCCGAAGTCGGTGCGCCCGCTGGAGAAGCAGCTGCCGAACGAGAGCAGGAAGCTGTGGGAGAACGTGACGAACCGGTTGGTGAAGAAGGAGTACAGCGAGGCGACGAAGCACAAGCTCGCCATAGAACAGAAGCAAAGAGACGAGGCTGCAGAGCGGAAGCGCAAAGGAGTCAAGTGAGTACACGTTTGATATCGTTGACTCCAACCACTAACTGCGTTTCCAGGTTCGTTCCTCGCTACTTTGACCCTGACATCTCGTCGGGGATGCCGTCGCTCACTGAGGAGGGCCGGAAGGCCATAGAGGAAGAGCTCAAGGAAGCGGCCGAGCACAAGCTAGAAGACGAGGAGCCGTCTACCCCGGCGGCCTCGAAGGCATGAACGTCACGATCTACACGAGTGCGCTGGCCCGATCTATCTGTCGCATGCTTGGCTAGCGCTGTAAGCATACATATACCACCGACGACCTCCCTTTCGTCGCTTCTCGCAGGGACACGCAGCAGTGGGCACTCTTGTACGAACCGGAACGGAGGTAGTAATGATCTCGAGCCACGATATATAGGTAGCAGCATGTCCCCGTCTGTATATACACCGCATTGCTTTCTGGACGATTTTCCGAGTGAACGCGCTCGGGTAGATGATGCGTGCGGATGGGGTGAGCGCCTCGATCGCGTCGACCCGGGCAGTCGCGACACGGACGCGTTTCTCTCTCGCGTCACGGCCTCTGCTGTGCGCTCAATTTCTGCGACGGCGACGACGTGCGGATGCTCGCCTCGAGGGCCGTTGTCCGACGGATCCCTCGAGCTCGACCAGCGCGGCCTGTTCTATCGCAGCATCTGATAACATCGACCCACGCCAAAACGGTCGAGTCAATCTGCAAAAGCGCCGAGTCCTCCTCCTGCTCACCGTCCGCCGCTGCCCATCCTCGCTCTCGTCTTCGTCGTTTGTCTCTCGCTCGGTCAACCCATACATCTGCCGCGATGGCCTCGCTGGACTCTGTGACGCAGGCGCTATCGAAACTCTCCATCACTCCCGCTGCGACAGTCTCGCATGCCCCCACCAACTCCCCTCAGACCTGGCGCGAGGCCCTCGAGGCCAGCTCCTCTGCCCCGAAGCCCTTTGAGCTGATCAAAACGCTCGTATACAAGCCCAAGACCGCGAAGACGGCGACCCCCGTGCCCGTGTTCGTGATCGCGCGAGAAACGACGGACGTCCCTTCAGGAGTCCTTGGCAAGACTCTGAATCTGAAGGACCTCCGTCTCGCGTCCGAGGACCTCCTGAAGGAGTTCTTCGACCTCGACAAAAACTCTCGTGAGTCTCATTCCATGTATCTCAGTGTGTTCTGAGAGAGCAAGTCGCGACTGAGCTGCGAGCACGAATGCTCGCAGTCCAATAATGCGCTTCATTGGGCGAATCTCCGTTGCGTCTCTCGCTCTGCGGATGTGTGACACCAAGGCAGCTGGTCTGACATCTACTATCCTGCAGTCTCCCCCCTCGCTCTCAACGCACAGACATATCCCAAGATCACCACCGTGATTGACTCCGCCATCGCGAACTCTACCTCCACCTTCGCCGTCCGCGGCCTCTCCTCCGATTCCACCGTCTTCCTCTCCGGAAAGGACCTCTACGCCTACGTGAAGCAGTTCGCCACCGAGGGCGCCCCCACACTCCACGAGGTCGACATCGCCAACCTCCAAGCTACCGCAAACGAGGGCGGAGCCTCAAAAGCTGCCCCCGCGAAGAAGGAGAAGGAGGATGCGAAGATCGAAGGTGCCGTCCAGATCGCCATTGGTGTGAAGAAGGAGGTCGACTTCCCGACGTGGTACACCAATGTCCTCATCAAGGCCGATATGCTCGACTACTACAACGTCAGCGGGTGCTACATTCTCAGACCATGGTCCTACAGCATTTGGGAAGCTATCCAGGGTATGTCCTTAAGATAGAAAGAGGTCTACGTGACCGCATGCTGAATCGTGTCCAGATTGGTTCAACAGCAAGATCAGGGCCATGGGTGTGCAGAATGCGTACTTCCCCATGTTCGTATCTTCGAAGGTCCTGGAGCGGGAGAAGGATCACGTCGAGGGCTTCTCTCCCGAAGTCGCATGGGTCACGCGAGCGTACGTACGGCGATATGCCTGACTTGTGTGCGATGCTAACCTCCCGCATGCAGAGGAAGCTCGGATCTTGAGGAGCCAATTGCTATCCGTCCCACCTCCGAAACCGTTATGTACCCTTGTAAGTCCGTGCTGATATTTTTCGGAAGCTGCTTCTGACCAAGTGCTGTAGACTACGCGAAGTGGATTCAGAGCCACCGCGATCTTCCCCTCAAGCTGAACCAGTGGAACAGCGTCGTTCGCTGGGAGTTCAAGAACCCTCGTACGTATGGACCTCCTCCAAGCCTTCCCCAGGCTGACGAGGATTTCAGAGCCCTTCCTCCGTACCCGTGAGTTCCTCTGGCAAGAGGGCCACACCGCGCACCTCACCAAGGCCGAGGCCGACAAGGAGGTACTCGAGATCCTCGACCTCTACCGGCGCGTGTACGAGGAGCTCCTCGCCGTCCCCGTCATTCCCGGCGTGAAGTCCGAGAAGGAGAAGTTCGCGGGTGGGCTGTACACCACCACCGTCGAGGGCTTCGTGCCGACAACGGGTCGCGGTATCCAGGGCGCGACGTCGCACTGCCTGGGCCAGAACTTCTCGCGCCCGGAGATGTTCAACATCTTCGTCGAGGACCCGAACGACCCCTCCGGCCAGGGCAAGACGTACGTCTGGCAGAACTCGTGGGGCCTCTCGACGCGCACGATCGGCGTCATGGTCATGATCCACGGCGACAATCAGGGCCTCGTCCTCCCGCCGCGCGTCGCCTGCGTCCAGGTTGTCATCGTCCCCTGCGGTATCACCGCCAAGTCGACGGAGGAGCAGCGCGCGTCCGTCAACAAGGCCGCTGAGGACCTCGCGGACAGCCTGATCAAGATCGGCATCCGTGCGCGCGCGGATCTCCGTGATGTTTACACCCCCGGCTTCAAGTTCAACGACTGGGAGCAGAAGGGTGTTCCCCTGCGTCTCGAGATCGGCCCTGCCGACCTCGCGAAGAAGCAGACCCTCAGCGCGCGCCGCGACACCGGCGTCAAGGCCCCGATCCCGCTGGCGGATGTCACGACGGCCGTGCCCGCGCTGCTCGAGCAGATCCAGGCAGACATGTTCAAGCGCGCGCAGGACGTGTACTTCTCGCGCCTGCGCGAGGTGCACCGCTGGGAGGACGTCGTGC